AATACTCGTAAGTATTGGCACTAGGAAACCTTTAGAATAACTGTAATCCCCTTTACCTTTATAAATAATTCAGTCTTTGCCCTCAAAACTTATTATAAACTATATTTGTGGTAAAACCTACCTTCCAGAGTATAGTTTGTAATAATATATACTAAAAATAATATAATAACTATTATAATATAATAATAAATAAAATTTTATCTAGGTATAACTAGTTATAATTTATAAAATTTTGAAGTTATAATATATTATAACAAATAATAAATAAGTATTCTATATTTACTATATTATTTTTAATATATATTTATATTATTAATTTAGATAATTAATATTTTTAATTAGATTTTTTTTAAATTTTCTTTTATATTTTATTTATTCTTTCTTATATTATTATTTATATTATTTATAATTATTAAATTATAATTAGTTATTCTCTGAAAATATAAATTAAATTAATTAATTCTATTTAATTTATATATAAATATTATTAATTTATTTACTTTCATATTCATTTTATTTTCTTATAAATATATTCTCTCTATTCTGTAATTTAACTTTAAATCTGAATACTTTTCAAATAATAAAAATTATAAGTTTATAAATTGAAACTATTTACTTTATATTATAAAAATTAAAATTTTATATTTTTAAAACAAAAAGATTTATTTTTTTATTATTAGATTAAAATATAAAAATATTAATATTTAAAATTGAATATTATAAATTAATTATATTTATTATAAATTTTATTAAAATAATTACTTTTATCTTTTATATATAATAATTAAAATTAATATAATACTTAAATTTTTTCTTAATTAGTAAATAATTTAAGTATTTTATTACTTTTTAATTATTATATTTATATTTTTATATTAAATATATATATATTTTTTCTAAATATAAAATTTCTTTTTATATATAAATAAATTTAAAGTTATATAATATATTTATAATAAGAATACTTACAAAAATTTATGAATTTTAACAAATAATATAATATGAAAGCTGAAATATTAATTAATTATTAGTATATAATATATCTTTATTATTGCAGATTTTTTTGAATTTTGATAATATGTCAGATTTGTTAAATATTAAAATATTAATTAACTATTAGTATATAATCTGAATTTTGATATTTTAACATTTTTCAAAATAATTTGGCAAGTATTTTTAGTTGAAAATTACAAGTAAAATCTAAATAATTAACTATTTTATATAAAAATATATATCTTTTTTATATTAATTTTATATATAAGTAAACTTTTTTGTGACTGTTAAGAACTAATGATTTTTTAAAAGCAACAAGCTTTAACTTTTTCTTATTTATTAATAAAGTAATATGCTATGTTCAAGTATTTTTGTGATTTTATGATTTTCATATATATGTATATATATACAGTATTAAAATTTTTTTCAATTTTATAATCTGCAGCATTCCTTTTTGTGTATCAGGTTGATGGCACAGATCACATTGCAATTACATGTAGTAAGACTCAAATTCATGATCAGTCTGGCAAATAAATTAAATACAAATATGAGAAATACAGAAATCGATGTTTGAATCTAACTTGGAGTACTTAGAAAAAATGTTAGTGAGACAATTTTATATTTCAATTCTAATCCTAACTATTAACCTAATCTTTCTTTAAATCAATCCTCGATATTACAGTGGAATTTTTCGGGCTGTGTCACCACTTTACACACAAAAGGGACGTAACCACGGAAGTAGGAACAGGTAAAAGAAGATCGGTTTACATTGATTTAAGAATAAACCAATCAAATCGCAAGTTATGAAAAATTAATAACATTTTGGTTAAGATAAGGGTTAGGATGATAATCTAAAATTCGCGGTACAAGCTATTTTTCGAAAATACATGTACACGTTTGAATTTTTTTCCTTTAAACATTATTTTGCAATTTGATTGGTCTACTCCTATGCTTTTTTGGGGGATACTGTTCAACGCAAAATCAATTGCTTGCGTTTATGTACAACATTACACAATACTTGTGCATCAGAATGTACGTGTATTGCAAAATAAATTTATGTAACATTTTAACGTTTCTAGTTTTCCAATTATCATTATCCTTCAAAATGAGGTTGTTGTTCTTGGTGATGGAGGTCTAAAATATTTTTTTGGGACTTATGACCCTCGGATCGAAGACTCGTATAGAACTGAGATACAAGATACGGGCGAAGAGGAATACATTAGAGATGGTGAAGGTTTCCTTATTGTATACTCATCCTATTACGATTTCGGAGTGCAATATATCAGATTAAAGGTTCTGACTCGGTTCCCATAATGCTTGTTGGGAACAAATGCGAAAAGATAACTGAACGTGAAGTTTCACGCGAAGAAGGACTAAAGTTGGCTCGAGAACTTGGGTGTGTGTGAATTCATTGAATCTTCGGCGAAAACAGGTGTAAATGTTGAAAGGGCATTTTATACTGTTGTCAGAATGATTCGGTATGAATGCAAGGGTAAGATTTCCAGAAGAAAGAAGAAGCTATGTCTAATATTATGAATTTTATACTTTTAATCTTTGATTGCATTCAAATTTAGTTATTATGTAAATTTAAAAAATAATAAGATATTATAATTTTTAGATAGATATAATCGCAATACATTTTGTTTACACTGTATGTAAATGAATATTCAGAGATGATGTAAGTACAGTCAAACCAATAACGAATACATACTTGAATTATTATAGTTTGTTATATAACGAAAATGTTTGAAAATTTTTTACAATATATCTACTGTTCTTTACAAAGATTTAAAATTTGATAGGTTAAAGAAATTAGATATTTCTGTATCTCCTCTTTAATTTAGCAATAGAACTTTCAAATTTGTTTCCGGCCACTGAAGACAATCTTAGCTAAGTTAATTAATACATGTATTAATTTTGCGCTTGCGAATTAAAAGTTAGCTTTTTTACGTCAATTAAAACTTAGTGAACTAACAAATTAAAAAGTTAAAACTTGTTTTCTTTGCCACGAAAAAAAATTAAATTTTTATAGTACATGTACGAAATTAGAAAATGTTCAATTTAAACTTTTTGCCCATTGCTCAAGTCTAGATATTTACATAGCGATATATCCTTCCGACACCATTCCCATCAAATTTTATATGTTGCATGTACTTTTAAAAAAGTCGACGGAATTTTTGATGAGAGTATTGGCGCAGATTGCTTTTAATTTTGACTATTTCACTCCGTAACGTTTAATTGTTTATATCGATATCCATGTATGAAAAGATAACAATAAAATAAGTGTAATAATGTAGTGGACAGTTCTTAAATTTTTCCTTTAATATTATTCTTTAGTTTCATTTGCATGTTCTACATGGATCCTTCGCCACGCATAATCTAAAATAGATCTTAAAATGTATAAAAAGAACTTGCTTTCGCTATAAAAATGAAGATATGCTTGGAAACATATAATTAAAAGTTGAATTATCTTAATAAATGTGCTTTTGTTATACACTTTATCGATAAGTTGAACCTTCTTATCGATTCATGTGTTAAGCCTTGTTAGTTTTATTTTTTAAAATGTCTTACAATTATCTTCAATATCCGTCAGACCTTAGATAGGTTAATTACGTTATCCAAACACACCCTACTTCCGTAAATACATGTAGCATTTCCCATTAATGTAAGTTTATGAATCACATGTATTTAGCCGAATAATGAAAGTACTAAGGACATAGGGTTTTTACATTTTCTTTTCGTTATAATTTATTTTAAAGAAAACTTTTATTATAATGATAAAAGATACAGTAATATATACTGTATACAATAGTTTTAAAAAATTCTATGTGAACTAGCTCTAAATTAAATTGCTACCATTTACTCCCATTAAATGGCCCGCCCGTCAAATAAGATTACTGGCCAGATTTGATTCGTGCCAAACCAAATCCCTGGCGGCAATCCTTAGAATCATTCTGAAGCGTATAATAAAGAAAACTATTTAAAAGTGGTTTTTTGTGCGTTGATTGTTCAATTTTATACTCTTACAAGTATTTGAACTCTAATGATTTTTGGCAATCAATTGATTTTGTTGCATTGCTTGCATCAGAACTTTTGTTTTTTTGTTTAGTTATTGGCAGATTTCGCTTTATTATGTTTTCGTTTACATTTGACGTTCTACGAAGATTCACATTTTAAGTTCTCACATACTAAAAATAAAACACGCGAAAAATAGATACTCTTATTATTGATTGCTTATTTTTAATTAAGCTCTTTTATATTCATTTTTTGTATTTTGATTATTTAGTTAACATAGAAAATTTTAAAATTTTTAAAATTTAAAATTCTCAGATACATTTTGCAAACCAAACCAAAATAACTTAACTTTAATAAGATACAGACGAATTTCCATATAATCATATCCTCAGAATATGAGAAATTGTGCTTATAGAGAGGTAGCGATTATGTGGAGGTCATTTCTTATGTTTTATTAATAAATCGTGAATTGGGAAAATGTGAAAATACATGTATTATTAATTTTGCGATTGTATGGAAGGTGACTATAGAGCTTGACTTATTTTTTCTAAATAATAATTTTTATAAAAAATTCGTCAAATCAACATAAAGTTGTTGAACTTTGTGTTTTGCTTGTATTCTTAGTTCATAAATGCAGTCGCATCTCGATATAGTCACAGGGTTAATAAACAAAATTGGATGTGACTAAGATAAAAAAGTGAGTATAAAGTGGTTTAAATTCTTAATGTTACCTGCTAGATCCTTTTGATTTAATTAAAGATCTTTTGCAATTGTGACAAGACTTTAAATTTAAGATGCCTAATATAATATCTACAGATATTTTATCAGCACTTAGATATATTAAGTCTTTGTTTTACTAACATTTACTAATTCCTGCTCTTTACAATATTATAATTTAAAAAAGAGATCATTTTACATCAAACTATTCCAAGAATTAAAATTTGTAAGAAATGACACTTACCTCATATGTTGGTACAAACTCTCATAAATTTCATAAACATCAATTTTTAGATTGCTATTTAAAATTTAATTGAACTAAATTTTGTTTATTAAGAAATTTTCGGATACAAAGAACCAATGAGCTTTATTGCCTATAAACTGCCTTTAAATTCAAAATCCCTCCCAATACAAGCATATCATTAATCTCGTTATTTTTTACATTCATTGGTCATTAATCATGATATAACGATAACTGTGGAGAAGATCATTAATTTAAAGTTCTCTAATCCTACAAGTAGATATTGCATATTGTTAAAATCGCGTTAAAAATGCAAAATGTAAATATTCCACATAATACATCTTTAAATATTATCGTTATGTACATGTATTACGAGGTTTTCGCATATCGAAATGGAGATTCTTGGAAACTTGTCATGTAACTTAATAAAAGGTCAATCCCTCAATCTTCGCTTGTTTGGTCTTGACTAATGATTTATACTTTCCTTAGTTACCATTTTTAATGTTATCACTGTGACAGTAATATGTATTCAGTCGATTTAATGATAGATTGAGTTAATAGAAAACAGCTCGTATACGTAGTCGCCAACGCTAATTAAATTCTGACTGTATGAAAATTCTACTTACTTATCGTTTTGATATGAAAATGCAATTATTCAGAGATATGTATGTTTAGAAACTCGACGCTTTAAATCATTCTTGTTATAATTACCATAGTTTATGCACAGAATATCTAAAGTAAAGCATTGCGTATTATCTCTTATTTACGAAAGTTAAATACGTATGCCAACAAATATTAATGTTTAAGTTACGAAATTAACTGATTCATTAAACGAACGTACGTCCTTTGAATGAAAAAAAATATGAATATTGTATTTCCTATTCTCAAATTGAGGCTAAAAAAATGCCACAAAACGACAGGTAGCATTTATTCATATTGCTATGTCAACTATACATTAAAGGTATCCAACACAAGAAACTTAGATTAAAATGCTAAGTGCAATAGAAACGGTGTAAATTATATTAGAGATTCTAATATAATTTACAATATTCATAAATGAAAAATAGAAATGTAGAGAAATCTATTGATAATTTTAGAATATTTAAAAAAATTCATATTATTAAGCATCGTTTCTTCTTTCTTTCAGGATTTCCTCCATACAATTAGTCTATATCATTCTGACAACATCATAAAATGCTCTATGAATGGTTTTCCCAAATTCGACGAATTTATCTCTAAGAATTCGGGCCTTCATTCCGTGAAACCGCCCGGTTAATTATTTATATCAAATATATTGCCAACAAGTATCATCACCAATTGATTTCACCCGTATCTACTTTTACTTCTAAACACATGGTTAATCATCAATAACAACTTGAACTCTTCAATTATGATATCATAAGCCTCCCTCGTTAAAATGATTTAAACAAAATTGAATCACAAGTGCTTTTTATATAACTGTGCGTATTTTAATTATATACATGTACATATACATGTATGTAAAATTTTAAATAATAAAATAATTATGTTTATAAATAAATTTAACCAAAATTACTTTCACCAGAACTGTACATACAGTGGCTCACAAAAGAAACGCAACACGGAAAAAAACGGCGAGGTATTCGTATCTCGCCGTTTTTTTTCCGTGTTGCGTTTCTTTTGTGAGCCACTGTATATTGATGTTAACGACTTGAAGGAAACCTGAACAAACCGCGGTTTAAGCCGGGACCGAACCGGGTTGACTCTAGATTATCGGACCGTGGGACCGTAGCACTGCGCCACAAGAGCGAAACCAAGTTTTAAGTCGGTCAAATTTAAGTCAAGGTTTGGGGTTATGGTTTATTATTACAATTAGTCGTTTTAATTGCAAAAATGTTTCAATTTCTTTGTGCTTGCGTGTATGTTTTATTCTTAGCTTAAACATTACAATTAAAATTTATGCACGCGATTAAACCGGTCTATACGCCGGGTTTCAAACTATGACCTCAATAAAAGTTGTGACCCGGTTTGACTTCAACTATAAGGTCGTTGACGTGGGACCAAATCGGACCGTTAACATCCCTAGTTATCAACCCTCTTATACATATATCAACAAAAATTCCAACATAGAAGGATGATTGTACATTTAGTATTAACATAGGGCTGGATATAATTTACAAAATGGAATTTGTACATCGTTACTTTAGAAAATATGTTAATACAGGACATTCAAGCTCTAGTTGGCGAGTTTGAAATTTTCGCCCAGCAGAGGGAAATCTACATTGTATTTCCTTAAGGATATCGAATTGATTATATTTGAAAATAAACAAGCATATGTTGAGCAAACTATAGCCGTCATAAAAATAACAACTGTTTGCAGTTTCAAGTTTTATTTAACTGCTCCATAAGTGAAGGAAAAAAATACAAATTGAGAGCTTTTAGGAAGTGTAAGTTTGCAAGAAGTGGCTGTCGATATATGACATACCATTACGCGTCATTTATTAAACGAAACAGATTAACGTTAAGAAATAACATATTGTGAAAAGGGTCAACTGCATTCTGCTAGTCCAAATATTTTATTCGATGAACTTTAACTAATTGACTTGGTACAATTAAATATAGTATTTACTTGTGTTCCCATCCAATTTCGGCTATTAGAATAATATCGCTATATTGGAATAGATCAAATAGATAATTTAGCTATTGCAAAGTACATGTATTACCTTGACGTCTAGCAATAAATGCTCGGACAATCAGAAAAAAATCCTGCTATATCGAGCTTTTCCGCAGATCCCACAAACAGATTACATGTATTTCGAAATCAGCTATATATTTTTCTCTGTTCTAACGGAACCGTAGGTATATTGGGTTTCTATTAGCATCCGCTATATCGGATCTTTGTTTAGTGATGTGATGAAAATCAAAAAATTTATGTATCATCGATATAAACCGAGTTACTGGTTAAGCCGACATCTGGGAATTACATGTATCTGCAATTTTTCCACCAACGTGAGTGTCACTAGAATGAGAGGCGTTCTTCGTTAAATAACCAGCTCATAATAAACATTAAAATTTTCCAAACGTTGATAATAATGAAAGCCTAATTTTATTCTTCTCAAAATTCAAATCTTCTCTGCTATCTATTCATTTGCCTCTGTTTTGTCTTTGACTGTCAACTTAAGCAGCCATAGTTTGTCGAGTTGAAATAAGTTAAAACACTTTGCTTTTATCCTTATTCATTCTGCTTGACTTTATCTTGGGTTGCTAAATTGCTTCCATTTGTCCATCCATGAGGAAAGAGGACTTTCCAATTAAATATTGTGTTTATTTATTGTATATTTAAGCATGGAAAAGAGAAAATTTTGAGGCCTAAACGAATTGCTGCGGACGTATTCGTTATCGGTTTGATTTTCTGATATCGGTAACACACTTAATTTTCATTGGTTGTTGATTTTGGTTTTAGACATAATTATTGGTAATTGGTTTTGGTTACGAATATTGTTTGTGTATGGTAATCAATATTAAACTGCATATTTTTCTTGGTACATGCGCAATTGCAATCGCGCAATAATCGTTTGTGTATCAAAATCAAGTCATGTATAGTAACATAATTTTGTTATTATATAATGCACGTAACGTATAACGTATATCTCACCTACTCCCTCCTTATCCTTTGCTTCTAAAGTTTCTTAAGATGAGGTCATATAAACTTCTTGTATTTGGAGATAGTGGTGTAGGGAAGAAATCGTTGACGGTTCAATTTTGTAAAAATTATTTCTTAGAGAGTCACGAATCAATATTTGAGAATTCATATAGAAAAGATGTTATGATCGATGACGAACCATGTTCTTTAGAAATAATAATAAATACGGCTGAACAGGAAGAATATGCAGATATTAGCGGGATAAGAGATTATGATGGTTTCCTTCTCGTATATTCAATTACATCGCGGACAACATTTGAACGGGTAGAAATATTTCTGAATCAAATAAAACAAAATACCGACTCTGCGCCTATCGTTATTGTTGGCAATAAATGTGATAAAATGATTGAACGGGAGGTTTCACGCGATGAAGGGAAAAGAATGGCTCAAATTCTTGGATGTGAAGTCATGGAAAGTTCGGCAAAAACATGTGTAAATGTTGAAAAAGCATTTCACAATGTTGTCAAAACGATTCGAGTTACTCGTGAAGGTGCCAGAAATCCTAAAAGGCAGAAACGATGCTCGATATTATAAACATTTATAAATTTATATATTCGATTCTGAATTTTAATTTCGGGAGGAGAATATCTCTATTTTATCAAGTAGAAACACCGAAAAATATTTAAAATCCAGAAATATGATTAACTAGATTTTCGACAACTTTTGCTCCACATTATTTTTCCGTTGCTGAAAACATTGCCATTTTTTATTTAATTTTATTAACTATCTATGAGTAGAATTCCCGAATAGGAGATTAAGTTAAATATATTTTTATCAAAAATCTTCTGGATTTGGCCAAAAAATCTTTGGCCACAACGTTGGGGATTATTTTTTATAGTTCAGATTTATTCTTTACCAGTTGAAAATTTACTTCAATCTATTTGTAAGTTTGAAATTTTTTAATAGTAATACATATCATCGCCGTTTCTTTTCAATGAAAGTATATCGACATGTACGCATAATGACCACGCATTTATAATCAACGCCTTTTGCCATGCTAATATTGTGGTCTCTCTATCTTTACGATACCTATTTTACGTGGTTACTATCTTGCATTCGCTGTCTTAATGATATAATTATCCAAATTTTTTTAAAGAAGGAAAATAATTCATGTATATTTTACTTCAGCATCTTCTAGTAAGGTTTTAGTGATTTAGATCTAGAAAGATAGAATTATTAGAATGTGTAAACGGATATTGGTACAATTTTGAAAAGTAGTAACAATTTAGATTCCAGTAGCATTAACGTTTACTTTATTAAAGAAATATAGTGCTTAAAAATTTTATTGAGAAGCTTATTATTCTGATCATTTTCAGAAAAAACCGTCAAACTGGAAAGCGACCAGTTATATAATCTTTGTTCTCATTTAAAATTATAAATCTGTCAATGTTACTATTTCTTTTCCATCAATTGCTAAATTCTTATTATTACCAACAGAGATAAATCAATGATTCTTTAAGATAAATATGCATCAAAAAATATGTTTGTAGGATATTTTATTAAAATTACATAAATTTCTTAATTCCATAATTTATATGCCCTTATTCAAGCAAATTTTGTTTATAATCTTATAGCTTCAAGTAATAAGATAGATTATGACAACGTTAAAATTGTTATTAGAAAAACTTGTTATTAAATATATTATTTAACTATGACTGAAAAATAAATTCATTGCTTAATAAAATAATCATTTTTTTAGATATTATTTTAAAATAATAATTATAATTCAGGAGAATATTATAATGCAAAATAAAACCATATGCAATATCTAGGTTATTAATGGAATACTCCAGTTTATATTAAATATATAATTCATTCTGGAGCTGCACCAGAGTGGATTATATATTTTAATAAAACTGGTATACTTCATTAATAATCTTAGTAATATCTCAATATCTAGTAATTAGAATATTATGAAATATTACTATTTGATTTATCTATATAATAAACCAAATGATAAGATTCTAATCACTAGATTTTGGGATATTACATTGCATTATAAATATTTTTCTGTATTATAATATCTCTTTATCTATATACAATGTGTAACAAAAAAACTGGATATTTTAATTTTCTCCATAAATATTTATTTAAATAACATAAAAATTTTAATATATATACTTGAAAGTATGATAAACAACTTTATTTAAGACTACTTGAATACTTATCTTATTAAACTTTTTTATAATTTATATTTTTAAAATTAAAAATTTTTAATAATAAAAAAACTTAAATAAATTATTATAAATAAATTTGATTATTATTTTGTAAATTAATTTTAAGTAAATTTGTTTACTAGATTATCAAGTATATATATTTAAAATTTTATATAATTTAAATAAATATTTATTGAATAATAAACAAAAAAAGATTAAAAAAGTATTTTAAATTTTTTATAATTAATTTTTTCAAAAAAAAATTTAGTATAAAAATATTAATTATGAAAAATTTTATTAAAATAAGCTATTAAATACTTTTAAGTAAATTTTTTTACTAGATTATCAAGTATATATATTTATTGAATATAAATAAAAATAGTAATGATAGTTTTTTATAATATATTATATATAAATATTAATAAGTTTTTTATAAAAAACTAAGCTAAAATTTTATAAATATCTAATAAAAAGTTAATAAATTATTAATAAATTTAATTTAATTAAAAAATAATATTATAAACTATATTTATAAAGATAAATTTTATTCAAGATATTGTTATAGAGAATTGATAAATGGAGTTTTACTTGAATTCATCTTAATAATATAGGATTGGAAGAGACTGAAATAATTAAAAAATAAAGAGAGAGAAATTAGATTATATTTTTAATAATGACAAAGGTTTCTAAGATCTGTACCAATATTTATGAATATTGTCTTAATAAAGGATAATAAAATAAATAAATAAATAAATAAATAAATCAAGAAATTATAAAGATTAACTGAGTGAAGTCACTAGTAATCAATATAATTTATAATTTGAATTAATTAAATAATATAAACTATTAATCAAAGAAAGTTATAACTAAAAGTAAAACTTATAATACAAAAATCAAATAACTAAATAAATAAAAGTATATGGCTTATTTATAAGAAAAAAATAAATATAAAAATACAAATAAATTTATACAAATTTCTAATTTAATTTACATA